ACTACTACTACTACTACTACTACTACTACTACTACTACTACTACTACTACTACTACTACTACTACTACTACTACTACTACTACTACTACTACTACTACTACTACTACTACTACTACTACTACTACTACTACTACTACTACTACTAAACTACTACTACTACTACTACTACTACTACTACTACTACTACTACTACTACTACTACTACTACTACTACTACTACTACTACCCCTGAGGATCTCTAGGATCCCCCCTGATTCATGAGGATATCTTGGGACTACTGAAAATTCCTGAAGATCTCTCAGAACTCCCGAGGATATCGAAGGATTCCTGAGGATCTCTTAGGATTTCTCCAGATTCCTGAGAATTCCCAAGGATCTCTCCAGAGTCCTGAGGATCCCCCAAGATTCCCCCAGATTCCTGGGGATCCCTGAAGATCTCTTAGGATTTTTGAGGCTCTCTCACGATTCCCCCAGATTCTCAAAGATTCTTCGAGATCTCTCAGGATTCCCGAGGATCTCTCACGATCTCTGAGGATCTCTGTTGAAGATCTCAAAAATCTGAAGATCCCGTACTAATACGTGGTTGCAATCGAAGCCAGTCTGGTTGCAATTCGCTCCGAACGGCTGGAATTGGGACTGCTTGGTTGGGATTCGTCCCATTCCCGGGCCCCCCCGCAGATTCCGAGGAATCCGCGCGGACCTCCGAAAGTCTCGGCATACTTCTGCCATGTCTGGCTCCCCGAACCTCGCAGGCCACCCGCGTCGGCTCGCCCAGGCACCGCGGAGCTCCCAGCGAGGCCTGCCGCGGCTGGGCCCCTTCCGGTGGCGCCAAGCGCCCCGGAGACAGGGCGCGCAGCGGCTCCACCGGCGGCCCCACCGCGGAGATCGCCTGCCTCAAGCTCGAGCCGGCGGCCCTCCCGCCGAGCCCCCCGCGGCCCGGCTCCGCCTCCTGCCGCTGCCCGCAGTGCAGGTGCTGCAGGCCACGCCTGACGCTCTCGCACAGCTTCTGGTTCGAGGAACAAACAGCGGGACGAGGGTGGACGTACTACTACGATACGTCCTCCCTGGAGGCGCGCGTCCGACCGGCACATATAGTAGACCCATATTGTCATAGCTCGTTGCCCGAGCGGTGTGGCCAGAAAGCGCCCGCCACGACGCATACACTAGAAGATTTCTCGGTGCACGCGTCGCCCCTGGGGGGGCGACGCACACGTAGTATTAGTATGTTGGGGCGACGCCGAAACAGTGGCCTGAGCAGAACCTCTCGGAGCCCGCGCGGCGTTCTCGGATCGGCGCTGGGACCCACACCCCTGGCGCGCCAAAAGCGCGCCAAGAGCGGCGCTGGAGAGGCGCCGCCAGGGGGCCCCAGCGCCGATCCGAGAGATCAGCACAAGCCTCCGAAAGTTTGCTAGCGGACCTAAGACAGAAGAGCATCCTTCAGGAACATGGGACTCTCCGCCGGCCCCAAGCCAGAGAGCATTCGATGGTGCCTTCCCCCAGAATGCATAAGAACATCCAACAAACGTTTGTTCCGACGGCGGCGAGGCAGAGGCAGTCCGCTCCAGCGTGTGGTTTTTCGGGGCAACCGAAAGGCCAATTGACCGGCGTGCAAGAGGGGGGAAGATGACGAGGGCGGCCGCGCGGGGGGAGGGGCGAACATCCGACAAAACACAAAGAGCATTGGGGCACCCTCCCCTAACCGACTTCAATCTGCTACCCTGGTCCGACCGTATATCTACGTCCTCGTTTGTTCCTCGACTGGTGCAGGTCCTGTCTGGCGAGTGGTAAAACTGGGGGTGACCCACATGGGAAGGTAAAGAAAAATGCCCTCAAGGGGCCCTTTGGGGCACCAGCTGGCTCCAAAAGGAACCCCAAAGGACCCTATGTAGGATTATTCACCCCCCCCATTCCCAGACATGCGGCGTCTTGATTTTTTCAATACGGGACCCCTGGAAGTCCTCACCTTTTCCCCTGGACCAGCTTCTCATCCTGAACAGTGTCTTGGCGGCCCCGAGGCCTGGCGAGGGCCCCCCGTGGCCGAAAACGGCCAAAAACCTCCCGTCCTGATGTTGTTTTTCCGACGCGATCATGTGTGGGTGTGGGTCGCCCCCATGTGGGTCACCCCCCACTACCATTAAATCGGGCGTGTCCTCCTACAGGTAAATTTTGGAAGGGACATAAAAAATTGTCAAGCACGGCTCCAAAATTGTCTAATACAATTGTCGAGAAAGCGTCCCCAGAGACTATCCTTTGACTGTTTTTGAATATTCCTCCTGTAGAGGAACACGCCTGACTTAAGCTTACGCCCTCGTTTGTTCCCCGACTGGTACAAATCCTGTCGGGGATCTTCTGACCCGGGTCAATCCAGACCCGGGCCAATCAGGCCTTGCAGAATCCTGCAAAATCCTGCAAAATCCTGCGCCCAAACCCAGGTCAACGCGAAAGATCCTGCAAGATCCTGCAGGATCCTGCACCCAAACCCGGGCCAACGCGACCCTCGCCCTGCAGGATCCGGCAAGATCGGGCGCTACAGCTGATCCCCGTTTGCATCGACCCCCGTCTCTTGAGCCCCGATCCTGGTCGGCGAGCGCCGCGCCTGCCGGGGTCGTGCGCCCGCTGGCGAATCCGCCGCCCTCGGTGGGCGCGCAGCACGCGGGCGGCGTTGGCGTGGCGTCGCGCGCCCACCACGGCTCGCCGCTCCCGAGGCGCCCCGGCGCCGCGCGTCCCCCGACGAGGCCAGGCCCCGCGGGGAGCGCGCGGCGCGCGGGCGGTGCCGCCCGGAGGTGGCGCTCGGGGTCGCTCTCCTGGGCATGAGAGAAGAGACCCAGAGATACCACACGCGTTTCTGCAAGTAAATAGTTGCAAGCATGACTATATATATATATATGTATAAATATGTGTATACATGCATACATGCGTACCTACATACATACACATATACATACATACGTACCTATATATATATATATACATATATATATATATATATATAGATATAAATTATATATATATATACATTATTATATATTATATTTAGGCCTACATGCATTTTGCATGCATGCATGATGCATGCATGCATACATGCATACATACATACATAATACATACTACATTAAACATGCATGCATAGCATGCATGCAATTGCATACATAATGTAGATATAGAGATATATATATATATATATAATATATATTTATACTCGATATCTATACATTGTGTATATGAAATATACATGGTATGTATGTCTATGCAAGCATGTATGTGTAGGCATTAAGAGAGAGCACAAAAATTTATATATATATATGTCGGCGGTGCCCGGTGCGGAGCGAACACCCCCCCCCGGTAATCTCTCCTGGGGGGGTTCGAGCTGGCGCCATTCCCGGTGCGAGCCTGCACGAAACCCCCCGGTAAACACGACCTCCTCTGGTAGGCTGCACGAAACCCCCCGGTAAGGACGCAACCCCTCCGTAAGCGGCGCGCTCCCGGCACGCGCGAACCCCAGCCCCGACGCGCGAATCTTACCAGGACGGGCCGGAACACGGCGGCGGCATTGCATCCCAGGGCCGTGCCGGAACACGGCGGCACTGTTCTTCTCTACGCGGCCGTGCCGTCGACCCCCCACAGCGGCTCTCGGGAGTTGCGCCGCAGCCTCTCGTATTGTGGCCACGAGCCACAATACGAGAGGCTGCGGCGGAACAAAGGCGAGCAGACGCGAATAGAGAACACAAGGCGAGCACACGCCACACTTCGACAGGGAGCCACCCTTCCCAACCGCCCCCCTGCCCCCCCCCCACCCACCCCCCACTCCCACCCCCCCACTCCCACAGGGGGGGGGGGAGCCCAGGTAGACGCAGTGCGGCCTGCACGAAACCCCCCGGTAAAGCGACAGGGGAGGACCCAATGCGGCCTGCACGAACACCCCCAGTAAAGCGGCAAGGGCGGGGTGTTCTAAGCCGCTGGCGGCACCCGGTGCGGGCTGCACGAAACCCCCCGGTAGTGCACGAAACCCCCCGGTAGTGCTGGGGGGGGGGTTCGTGCCACGGCGCACGCCAACATATAAATATTATATATATATATATATATATATATATATATATATCAATATATCACATCCATATCTGTTATACATAAATATACATAAATATACATGAATAAATGGCGGAGCTTCTGCTCGCCGCTTGTGGCCCGGGGTGGCGCGCGGGGTCGCTGTCCTAGGCTCGAGAGAGCTCGGTGGCAGCTCGAGGGGGCCTCCCATACCCACCTTGTCCTCCTGTGCGAATCGACGCTAATCGACGCCAAATCGACGCGAATCGACGCTAACCGACACTAATCCTCCTGTGCGAATCGACGCTAATCGACGCCAAATCGACGCGAATCGACGCTAACCGACGCTAAATTGGCGCGAGCTCATCGACTCCCTGAGGCGAATCGACGCTGATCGACGCTGAAAACGGAACTCAGAGGGCACACCAGGCTCCCGCGACTTGCTACGGAGAGGGAAGAGAGAGACCCAGAGATCCCCCACGCGCTTCAACAACAAAAAACAAAACGTCAAGGCGGAGCTTCTGCTCGCCGCCTTCGACCTCTAATCGGGCGGGACTTAATGGGGGGGTCATAAACGGGGGGTCAGAAACGGTCCCCTTTCGTGCCCCTTTCGGGCCCATCCAGAGCACCAGGGGGCTCGTTTAGGTACCGTTTGGGTACCTTTTCGAACCACCCTCGCCACACCCCCATTTATGACCCCCCCATTACGCGGCGCCCAATCTAATCATAGAAGCCCGCGCGGGCTGCCCCGGGCACCTTCAGGGCACGGCGCGGGAGCGGAAAACACTGTCCCTGGAAGGAGCCTCTGGTCGCGGCTCTTGGCCTCTGTCTGGAGGCCCGCGCCGGGCCCCCGGGCCGTCCAAAAAAAAAGCGCGGGAGGAGAAAACGGTCTCGGGGAGTGGGTCGAGACGACGTCTGGTCTGGTGTCGAGACGACGTCTCGAAAAGCGGGTCGAGACGAGGTACGGAAAAAATGGGCACAGTGCCATGCCCAACAACAAAAGCTATCGGGCAGGCGGCCTTCTGTCTCTTGGACGCCCGAAGTGGGGGTACGGGAAGAAAGAGCAAGACGCCAACAACAAGTGTTGCCCCGAACCAACCGCGGCCGCTGTTGGGTAGGCGGCCCTCTGTGTCAAATGGACACAGTCTGCGGCGACACCGACAGCGAGTCCTGCTCAAAATGAACAGAGACTGGTGTCCGTCTTGGTGCCCGTGCACGGCTTCCCCAGGGCCGTAGGAGACCCAAAGAGTAGGAGGAGGGAGAGGAGGAGGAGAAGGAGGAGGAGGAGGTGGAGGAGGAGGAGGATCCGAGGAGGAGATAGAGGAGGAGGAGGAGGTGGAGGAGGAGGTGGAGGAGGAGGAGTGATCGGAGGAGAGGAGAGGAGGGGAGAGGAGGCGGAGGGGGGGGAGGAGGAAGGAGGAGGTGGAAGGAGGAGGAAGAGGGTGGAGATGGAGCCGGAGTCTCTGAGGGGGGAGGGATGGAGGGGCCGGGGGAATTATGGAGGCAAGGAAGAGGAGGGGAGGAGGAAGAGGACCAGCTCCTCCTCCCGCATCGCCTCCCGACGGCCCGGGCGCGCGGGCGCGGGGCCCGGGGAGCCCTCGGTGGCCACTCACGGGAGCCTCTCATTCCTATCTTGTCGGCTCTTGCGAATCCACGCTCATATGCTAGTCGACGCTATTCAACGCCAAATCGATACTAAATCGACGCTAATCGGCGCTAGCCGACGCTAAATCGGCGCAGTCTCATCAATTCCCAGACGCTAGTCGATGCTCATCGACGATGAAGACAAAATAAAGAGGGTGTACCAGGCTCCCATGATTTGCTTCCGAAGGAGCCCGCAGAAACGAGAGACCTCCAAAACACCTCCCCTAAGATCCGACGTAGCGAAAAAAATGCAACATCATAAAGAATCACGCCCGGAGCCCTAGACCCGATCTTTCTGCGTCACTCTTCGAGCCGGATCGATCTGCAAGAGTCACGGGGCCCGAAAACAGGCGAAAGCGCCTGGCCCCAAAAAACTGAGACGCCAGGATCTCAAGGTCTTTCCTCCAGGACCTCAGGACCTCAGGACCTTGGATACTCATGCCGATCTCCTGCAGCGGCGGCGGCCCATGCGCGCCAGCCAGCAGCCGGCCACGGCCGGTCGGAAGCATCCCGGTACGTATCAGGAGGTCACCGCTTGCGCTCACCGATCCACGAGGGTTATGCTGCTCCCATCTCACTGAAGGACCACACCCCAAACATAATTTCGCGCACCCCTCAGAGAATCGAAACGAGGTCTGCCCGACACGCCAGCGGAGGGCCCCGACACGAGAGAACCCTCCAATTCTGGCACTTCCCCCGTGCTCCAAATTCTTCCGTGTGAGCAAGGCTACGGGAAGCCGGAACATCTCAACGCGAGGGGCACCGCCGCCCGCCGAGAGCCTGCCCGCTCCGGAGGGCGCTGGCGCGTCGGGGAGGAGGAGGAGGAGGAGGAGGAGGAGGAGGAGAGTAGGATAAGAGGAGAGAAGAGGTAGGAGAGGAGGAGGAGGAGGAGGCGCTGGAGGAGAGGAGGAGGAGAGGAGGCGGAGGAAGAGGAGGAGGCGGAGACACCTCCCCGGTGCTCGAAACTCTTCCGTGCGAGCAGGGCTGCAGGAAGCCGGAACAGCACCACGCAAGGGGCACCGCCGCCGCCGAGAGCCTGCCCGCTCCGGAGGGCGCCGGCGCGTCGGGGAAGGGGCGCGCTGCGGCAGATTCCCGGCGCGACGATGTGGGCGGAGGAGGAGGACAAGCATTCGGAGGAGGAGGAGGAGGAGGAGGAGGAGGAGGAGGGAGGAGGAGGAGGAAGAGTAGGAGGAGCATTCGGAGGAGGAGGAGGAGGAGGAGGAGGCGGAGGAGGAGGAGGATGAAGAGGAGGAGGAGGGGAGGGGGAGGAGGCGGAGGAGGGGGCGGAGGAGGAGACGGAGGAGGAGAATGAGGATGAGGAGGAGGAGGACGTTGGCTTCTGAAGCTTCTTGGACCCCTCAGCCTGGAACGATCACCACTTTCCGAGATCGGAGAATGTCCGGCACAGGGCGACGAAGTCTGCACATGTCCACTGCTCCCTGGCCAGGCCCCTCCTGAACCCAGCAGCAGTGTGCACGCCACGCACTCCTGGCTCGGCCCAACACAGAGCTCCTGGGTTCAGGATGGGCCTGGCCAGGGAGCAGTGGATATGGATACATTTCGTTGCCCGACAGTACTGGCCGAGTTTAGGCAGTTGGTGAAGTCCGACCCTGAGCGCCCGCGCCAGCGTCGCCGCCGCGTCGGCGTACGCCACCTCGATAGCGTCCAGGCGTCCAGGTGCACCGCCAGGATACGTCCACACCCACAGCTCGAAGGCGTCCAGGGGGGGGGCGTCCAAGAGGATTCGCCAGTCGTGGCCCGAGGCACAAGTGCGGCCCAGGGGGTCCCCTGGGGCACGTTGCAACAAGGTGAGGGGGTCATGAAATCCGGGGAGATATGACAGCACTGGCCACGATCTCCCTCCCCATCCCCCCAGTCATCACCTCGCCACCGCTCGGACGTCCATTCCCCATGTTTTTGTTCGATTTCGCGCGTGTTGTTTTTTGCCCGATGATCCAGGATACTCCTCGATGGTCCTCGCCGAGGACAAACATGCACACGTCCGAGCGATGCCAAATCACCCCTGTCGCGGCCGCCCCCGAGCAGCTGCGGGAGCCTTGCGCTGGGTCCCCGGGGAGAAGTGGGCGTGCATACGCCCCCCCTTCCCCGCCCCCGCGGGAGCGGGCGGATGCCCACGTCCACCGCTCTCCGCGCAGAGGCCGTCGAGAGCCCCGGGCGCGGCTGTCGAAGCGTTGGACACGGATTTTACCAAGCCTCCTCCCCGCTTTCCTTGCCTCGAGGCCCCTGGCCTTTGTGGACCAGAAAACAAACGACACCACCCCACCTGCAGCCCCACGGGGCGTAGCGTATACCAGGAAATCTGGCGTGGGCCTTTTGCGTGGTATGCGCTACGGCCCCCGATGGAACGTAGCGCAACATGGATGGCCGTAGGTGGGGTGGTGTTGCTTGTTTTTTGGTCGACCTTGTTTTTCCTGGCTGGGCCACTGGGCCGATGTGTCACCGTGCTCTGGACACACGTGCAGCGACAGAGGCCTCTGCTTCCGCCTCGCCCGACGCGCGCCCACCGAGCGACGGAGGCCAACGCCTCCGCTTCGCACGACGCAGTCACCTCCCCTGGATGCTCGAAAGGGGCCCTTTGAAGGCCCTTTTTGGAGCCAGCTGGTGACCAAAAGATGCCCCAAATGGCCCCTTTCAGGGCCTTTTTCTTCACACCCCATTTGGGTCACCCCCCATTACCCCCTGCCCGAGATGCCCGAACGCCTTGGAGTTCAGGCCGGCCTCTGGTGCACTCCTCGCGCCACCAAAAGGATCTCTGATTGCAAGGAGCGTACGAAGCTTCCCTGGCCACGGAAGGCCTCGGAAGCGCTTAGGACCCTGGGCCCACATCCATCGAGCAACGAGATCTCTCCAGATCCACTGCCCCAGGATAGGCCAGGCCTGGGGCAGTGGACATGTATCGATCTCGTCGCCCTAATCTGAGGAGCGGCCCGAAAACCAGAGCCCCCCTTGAGCCCCAGGTTGTCCTTATCTAAGCATACTGACTGACTGCACCACGTCCCACCCACACTCCCAATCCCTTTCCTGACCGTGCCCCACACGAGGGGCCCAAGCATCCGAGGTGGCGGAACAACTGCGAAGGGCCAAAGCGCGCGAAAGAACCAAGAATCCCCACCAAAATGTTCGAGCCCGCTCTTGCGAGCCGTGTCGCTCGAGACACATTTACCCACATGGGCCCCACCGACGCTTCCAAACCTCATTTTTTCGGCAGCGTCGGCGATCGCAGGCGCGAGGGTCGAGACCGGCGGGGCGCGCCAGGCGCGGGGCGCACGGAGCGGGAGCACAAGCAGAGAACGGCCGCGGAGAAGGGAGGAGGAGGCCCGACCGCCGAGAGTCGGCGGGGGAGGGGGCGCGCATGCGGCCTCTCGGGCACCGCAGGCGGTGTGCAGCGAGCACAAGAGCAGCGAGAGGAGCGCGCCGTCGAAGCAGCAGACGGGCAGCAGGGCACGTGCTTCCAGATGAACGAGCACCGCACATTTCTTTCAGAGGCTTCGAACTGGGACACACCTCTTCCTCCTCCTCCTCCTCCTCCCCCTCCTCCCTCCTCCTCCTCCTCCTCCTCCTCCTCCTCCTCCTCCTCCTCCTCCTCCTCCTCCTCCTCCTCCTCCTCCTCATCCTCGAACTCCTCCTCCTCTCCTCCTCCTCCTCCTCTCTCCTCCTCCTCCTCCTCCTCCTCCTCCTCACCTCCTCCTCCTCCTCATCCGCCTCCTCCTCATCCTCCGCCGCCTCCTCCTCCTCCTCCCTCCTCCTCCTCTTCCATCTCTTGCCCCCTCCTCCTCCTCTCCTCCTCCGCCTCGCTCCTCCTCCTCCTCCTCCTCCTACTCCTCCCTCCGTGCTTGACCTCTACCTCATACTCGTCCTCCTCCTCCTCCTCCTCCTCCTCCTCCTCCTCCTCCTCCTCCTCCTCCTACTCCTCCTCCTCGGGGCCGCCAACGCCCAGGACCAGGCCATCCTGTCCGCGCCCTTGTGCCGCCCTGCTCGTGTCCCGGATGGGCCCGACCGCCGAGTCGGTGCAGGAGGAGGAGGAGGAGGAGGAGGAGGAGGAGGAGGAGGAGGAGGAGGAGAAAGAGGAGGAGGAAGAGGAGGAGGGGGAGGAGGAAGAGGAGGAGGAGGGGGGGGGGGCGCGCAGGCGGCCTCAGGCACCGTGGACGGTGTGCAGCAAGTACATAGGAGCAGCAGAAGGGAGCGTGCCGTCGAAGTAGAGGACGGCCATCCGAGGCACCGTAGCACCGCCACGGGCCAGGGGCAAGGGCCGCCTGGCAGGGCCCCGGGGAGGCTTCGAAGAGGGACAAGCCCCCGGACCCCAACATCAAGGCACCCTTCGATCGGGGGGAGCGTTCCGCGCCTCAAAACCACCACCCACACCTGCGGGCCGCGTTCCGCGCGTGAGTCTCCGCGTCGAAATCGGGGGCTCGGGGGGGGGCATCGTCTTGGGGGCCTCCTGTCTTGGGCCCCTCTTGTGGCATCCAGTGCCCAGAACAATGCCATCCTGTCAGTGTCCTGGGGCCTGGGGACCTCTTGTCGTAGGCATCGATGTCAATGTCTTAGGCCCCTCTTGGGGCCGCCAATGCCCAGGACCATGCTATCCTGTCAGTTTCCTGGGGGAGAGGGGGGCGCCCTTATGCCACATTAGCGTGTTTGTTGAGAGCACCCGCAGGCGGCCCCTTCGGTGGCAACACATGGGAGCCTCCCATGAAATATGCTGGCTCTTTGCGAATCGACGCTAATCGACGCGAACTCGACGCTGATCAACGCTACATCGGCGTGGTCTCGCCGATTACCAAACGCTAGCGGACGCTAATGCACTCTGAGGGCGGAATTGCGAGGATGTAAAAGGCTCCCGTGGTTCGCTACCGAATCCCACCGACACGTTCAGATAAACGAGCAACGCCCATCAGAAACTTCGAAATGGGACAAGCCCCTGGACCCCTATATCCAGGTGCCGTTCGACCAGGGGGAGCGCTCATCGCTTCGAAACAATCACCCACCCCTGCAAGCCGCGCTCCGCGCGTGAGTCTCAACGTCGAAATCGGAGGCTCGGGGGGGGCGGGGTGGGGGCATCGTTATGGGGGCCTCTTGTCTTTGGCATCCGCGTCAATGTATTGGGCCCCTCTCGGGGCCGCCAATGCCCAGGGCAATGCCAGCCTGGCCATGTCTGGGGTCCGAGGCGGAGGTAGAGGCGGAGGTGGAGGAGGCGGAAGGGGGAGGGGAAGAAAGGAGAATGTGTCCATCTCGGCACACCAATTAAACGCTTCGTTGCCCCATGAAGAGCACCACCGAACGAATCAGCGACAGGGTATCGCATAGCGCCCGCCGCCCATTTCGGCACACCGCTCACTCGAGTCGTGGCCCCACAGGGAACTCCTCCGTTCGGCCTCGGTGACAGTGCACCGCATAGCATTCCCCCACCCACTTCGGCACACACGTTTCGTGGCCCCACAAGGAGCTCCATCGAAGGCTTCACTGGCACGGTATTGCATTCAATCCCCCCGCCTCCTCCCTCCCGAAAAACCCGATGCATCGAGTTCTTCCCAGCGTGGCTACCCCGAGGTCTGGACCCTTACGAAGGGAACGGGGGGGATGGGGTGTTTGCTTTCGTTTGCTTTTTCCCAGGCGCAGCCATGTACTCTGGTCTCGCGTGGCGATGTTATTGTCCTCATCGTGTTGACTTTCCTGCATGGTGGTGCAATTGTGTCAGGAGGAGGAGGAGGAGGAAGAGGCGAGGAGGACGAGGAGGACGAGGAGGACGAGGGGGAGGAAACGCAGAAGATCGGGTCGGTGGTCGCAACGCAAGCCTTCTGTCAAAACCGCTGGCAATGCACAGAAATTCCCGGCGGCAGCGCAAATATCCCTGCCACTGGACACCTGATGAGCCAACACGTGCGATGGAGGACGATGAGGTGGAGGAAGGAAACTGGGGGACAGGGGAAGAGAGGGGGACAGAGGACCGCAGAAGAGGAGCTGCAGCAGCAGGTGCAGGAGCATGGAGTCAAGGAGGGGGAGAAGGAGAGTGCAACGGTTCGGACGAGCCTGTTTGCCTGGGCTTGGCACGGGGTGAATGCTGCCTGGGCCAGCCTCACAACGGTGGGAGGCGCCGCAAGACGAACAGGGCTGGGGAAAAACACCCTCCCCCCTGGAGCAAGGGTTCCCAACTTCGCGCCTCGCGCTGCGCGAAGTGCGAACAACTTCGCGCTCTCGCGCCGCCTCCCAGGGGAGAAGTGGAGGGTGAGGAGGAACCGGAGCCGAACCGCGAAGCGCGAAGCGCGAATAACTTCGCGCCCTCGAGGGCGCCCTTGCTGGAGCGGACAAAGGGGCCCCCGACCGCTCGAGAAAAAAATGGCGGCTCGCGATGAGTTCCAGAGGCCTCCGCAGGGGCCCCCCGGGACCTCCAAAAAGCCCCGAGAAGGCTCACGAGGCCCCCAAGGTGGCCTCTGCGTTCTGGCCCGCGTTCTGTGCGTCGCTGCCGTTCTCGCTCTCCATCATTCGCGATCACCCTGCTCCCTTAGAAGAACTGCCTCTCGGTAGCAGCAGTCGCCGACCGAGCGTGGGGACCTGGCGAACCGTCACCCACCCCACCGACCACGCCAGCAAGGCCTGCTGCGCGGGAGACGCCACCGTGGCGCTGCGAGAAGCACCCAATGAGAGAGCTGAGCCGGGGATCTGCGGACGTCAGCTATCCACTTACACGGGCCCTGGCCGAGCTCTGAGCGATGTCACCTTGAACGCCCGAAAGGGGTACGGAAAAACAGATACGATGCCCAACAGCAGATGTTGACCAAAACTGATAGCAGCCGCTCTTTGGCAGGCGACTCCTTGTGCTTGCTATATTGACAACGTCCGCGGCAACGTCAACAGCGAGTCCTGCTCAAAACGGGCAGGAACTGATGTCGGTATTCGTCGCCCTCCCGTCTGATTGCACTACGGCCGCACCGAGTCACGGCAGCCTCATCGGCGCGCCGAACGTGCCCAACAATGCCCACTGTGCTGCACGATCCTGGCCAGGCTTGTCCTGGGCGCAAGACCAGCCTGACCAGTACCACTTTCATCATACAGCAGGCATCCGCCGAAGAGAAAAATGAGAAAGAGAGAGAATGTCCCTTTCACTGCGATGCTATTGCAAGACAAAGCCAAGATCCGGATAAAATCGGATGAGGATAGATCGAAAATCTCTGAGATCCCGTGGCTGAGGAGAATGTATCAGGCGTCGCGGCCTTCTCAGAGCGTTCTGGAAAGCTCTGAGAGCGTTCCGGAACGCTCGGGAGCGGATCTATCCTCGTCCTAGCCCCGTCCGACGAGTCCCTTTTCACTGCGATTCTGGTGGGCCGCCGCGGCGGACCGCCGCGCACTCCGCTGTGAGTGCGGTTTGGGCGAAGTGCACGCCCATAGGCAGGCCTGAGCCAAAGTGACTACGCCGAGAGAGAGAGAGAGCACCTTTCTCGCCTCACGCTCTCGGTCTCCAGGCGCGGCAGGCGCGCGATGCGGAGCGCCCAGCGACAGGGAAGGACTGGGTGCGAGGGGAGGCCGTTTCTGTCTGTCCGCGGGAGCGCGCCTCAGAGCCAGCCCGGTGAGGAGCCCGACCCAGACCACCTCCGCCTCCTCCTCCTCCTCCTCCTCCTCCTCCTCCTCCTCCTCCTCTTCCTCTTCTTCCTCTTCCTCCTCCTTGCTCATGGCGTGGAGCCCCAGAGGTCTGGACCCCTTCCCGCTGGGGCCCAGCGTCTCATCCCAGGGCCCCCAGGAGCCTGAAGCAGCAACAAGAGAGCACCCGCCATGATTCGTCACGATCCGAAAGCGTCGGGGGATCTGGACGGGCCTCGGAGGCCGACACGTCTGGCGATCCCTTTAGGAGCTATCTGCAAGGACTAGGCACAGGAGTAGGAGAAGGCCTTGTTCGGTGTGGCCTCGGCTGCATGCAGCAGAAGCCGACCAGTTTCCTGACCGTGTGCGCCCCCACTCTGGGGCGGAGGGTTGGGGCTGGGCCTGGGAGGGGGCGGTGCACCCACGGGGGAGGCCACCCGACGCACTCGGGGTTGACACGTGGGGGTGATTTCGGTCCTCGGCCCTCAAGAAGTATCCACCTGAGCTCTGCAAGTTTCTACCTCGATGTATACGGGGGAGCGCACCTACGAGGTGCCCCCATCAGGCCCAAGGTTCTTATGTGCCGCTCGACCCGTACTTCAACTTCCAGAGGCATCATGACTGTTCAAGGAGTGTGCGCCCAGCCCGACGCGCATTGTGAGGCGCCTGGTTTCTCGGCGCCTCATTACTTTTCTTGTGCATGCGAATTTCGCACGCTTCGGTCATGAACCATGATGTGAGAACCGTAGGCCCGTAAAACCGTAGGAGGAAAAGAGTGGAGGAAGGAGGGAGGAGGGAGGACACTGCGCAAACAAGCCCGGCCATACCCTGTCACTGTACATCTTGGCGAGCGAGGTCTCGCGGCCAGCCATACCCTGTCGCTGTCACGCGGCTGACATTGTCCTCTCGGGTCTCTGCGTCACGACAGCTCTCTGACCTACTCTCCTCCTCCTCCACCTCCTCCTCCTCCTCCTCCTCCTCCTCCTCCTTCTCATCATCCTCCTCATAATCCTCCTCCTCCTCCTCCTCCTCCTCCTCCTCCTCCTCCTCATCATCATCATCATCATCATCATCCATCATCATCATCATCATCATCATCATCATCATCATCATCATCATCATCATCAGCAGCATCAGCATTATCATCATCAGCATTAGCATCATCAGCATCAGCAGCAACATCATCATCATCATCATCATCATCATCATCATCATCATCATCATCATCATCATCATCATCATCATCATCATAATCAGCATCATCATAACAGTTCTCATCATCATAATCATCATCATCATCACCATCAGCATCATCATCAGCAGCAGCATCATCATCATCACCATCAGCATCGTCATCATCAACATCATCATCGTCATCATCAGCATAGTCATCATCATCAGCATCATCATCAGAATCATCATACTCATCATAATCATCATCATTATCATCGTCATCATCAACATCAACATCATCATCATCAACATCATCATCAACATGATCATAATCAGCAGCAGCATCAGCGTTATCATTATAATCATCATCAGCATCATCATGATCATCATTATCATCATCAGCATCATCATCATCAGCATCATCACCATAATCGTCACCAGCATCAGCAACATCATCATCATCGTCATCGCCATCACCAAAACCACAAGTTGCAGCAGCATCATCACCATCACCATCACAATCACCATCACCATCAACATCATCATCAGTATCATCATCAGCATCATCATCTAATCATCATCAGCACCGTCATCATATTCATGAATAGCCGTCTTCGTCAGCATCATCATCATCATCAGCATCATCATCATCATCATCAGCATCGTCAGCATCATCAGCAGCATCATCATCATCGGCATCCTCATCATCATGCTCATCCTCATCGTCACCACCCACCTCCTCCTTCTCCTACTCATCATCCTCATCCTCATCCTGCTCCTCCTCATCATCATCGTCATGAGCAGCATCATCAGCATCATCAACAACAACATCGTCACCGTCATCGTCATCGTCGTCGTAGTCATCAGCAGCATCATCCTCCTCATCGTCATCCTCATCATCAGAATTAGCATCGGAATCATCATAATCATCACCATCATCATCGTCATCATCATCAGCAGCAGCATCATCATCCTCATCCTCAGGTTCATCCTCTTATCCTTCCTCTTCGTCTTCCGCCACTGCTCTCCTCCTCAGTGTCACCTGCTTATCCTCCTCCTCCCCCTCCGCCTCCCACTCCTCCTCCTCCTCCTCCTCCTCTTCCTCCTCGTCATCATCCTCATCATCCTCATCATAATCATCAGCATCATCATCATTATCATCATCATCATCATCGTCGCCAGTATCATCATCAACAGCATCATCATTATCATCAGCATCGTCATCATCATCCGAACCATAGACGGTGACAACCCCCCTATCCGAAACAGTCAGAAATAAAGAATTCATGCCGGAGAGGAGTGCAACGAGCGGAAACGTTAGCCCCACGACAAATCAAGTCATTAGATAAGTCCGCCAGGGGGGCGCGGGGGGAGTAAGATGAGTAAGACAGCCCTATGAGAATCAGAAGGGGATCCGAATGGGATCCGATTGCAATCTTACGGGGTTCATGCTGCACCCTCGTTGGCTCTCATGGGAATCCGGTTGAGTCTGATTGGAACCTTATCGGGATCTTGGTGGGGTCCTGCACTGAGGGGTCCAGGGGCGGGATATCACATGCAGGGGCGAGACACGACATAGTTTTGCCAGAAGGGGAGGGGCCGATAATATGTTCCTACGGTTAGTCATGCTCATCATTCCTCTTGTCCTGTACCTCTCCTGATCATCCTCTCAATCACCGTCCTTCTTCACATCCCCCCCCCCACCGTGCGATGCACCATCCCTCCTTCCTCCTCCTCCTCCTCCTACCCCTCCTCCTCCTCCTCCTCCTCCTCCTCCACCTCCTCCTCCTCCTCCTCCTCCTCCTCCTCCTCCTCCTCCTCCTACCCCTCGTCATCCTCCTCCTCCTCCTCCTCCTCCTCCTCCTCTTCTTCTTCTTCTTCTTCTTCTTCTTCTTCTTCTTCTTCTTCTTTTTCTTCTTTTTCTTCTTCTTATTCTTCTTATTCTTCTTATTATTCTTATTATTATTCTTCTTCTTATTATTCTTCTTATTATTATTATTATTCTTATTATTCTTCTTCTTATTATTATTCTTCTTATTCTTCTTCTTAGTATTATTATTCTTATTATTCTTATTATTATTATTCTTATTCTTCTTATTATTCGTATTCTTATTATTATTATTCGTCTTATTATTATTATTATTGTTCTTCTTCTTATTCTTAGTATTATTATTAGTCTTCTT